TATAGCATTTTACATTTGCAACCTCCCCTATGTTTCTAACAATGTCACCAAAAACCACACCACCTTCTTTGTCTACACCATATGGAATTTACCATCCGCCAAAATCCTAAAGCCTTATTTTACAAGTACAGGTTTTTCCAATGTTTACTTGAGCATCTACATTTATGTCAAAGTAAATAATCTTACACTTACCAATGTTAAATAGTCTAGGTAAATTTAGATCATTATTCTAACCTGTTAAGATCTGTTTGGATTTCGATGATGTCAACACACTAATGTATTAATTCCTTTTGGCTTTTATATCCAGAAATCTGTTTAACATACATTTATCCAAGACACTGACAAAAGTATTTATTAGGATAGGACTAAGAACAGAGTTTTTTTATAAGTCATCAGACACTCCCCACCAGTTGCTAAGAAGCACCCTCTAAGTATGTTCAACCAGTTATTAATCTGCTTAATTGCATTAACTCAGCTCGTATTTCTTAATCTTTTCTCCAATTATATCATGAAGAAATTACACAATGCCCCCCTGAAGCTCATGAGCATTTTGTCTGTTGCATTTCCCTGAACTACTGTTTCCTTCTAATTTGGCCAGATTTAATTTGGCTAAAAGCAATTTGACAAAAAGCAATTTGGTCAAGAAGACAATTTTCTTAAAACAATGATCTAGATAAAGAAGAATAATGCCAATCAGTGTGGTTTCAAAGTTGGTCATTTTTGTGTAGTATTGGATAGAGTTGTGACCCATTTTGTACTTTATGTATTTTGTCAATATTATGGTTTTTCTCAACAGTTTGATTTTTAAAATTTCTAATTCATTTCTAGCCAGTTGTTCCTATCAAGCATTGCTATTATAATGCAGACTAACTGAAACGATATAACTGTTCAGCAATTAATTAGAAGAATGCAAATGCCCAACAAATGGTGGATTGTTTTTTTAAAATGTGCTAAGTTCCAAATACCATATGGTAGGTAAAATATCACATGTAGCCATAGGAAATGCATATGGAAGGCCATCATACACTAATGTGGAATCATCGATTGATACTATTAAGTGGGATTATCTTTAAAAATGTGTTCTAGTTTGTATTATAATTTTCCATAATAAGCATGTGTTGCTTAAAAAGTCTAAAATAATACATAAATCACAACTGTAGTCAATTGTTCAATCACTCTATTCGTTTCGAGTATTTAGCTCCTTTTGTTGGATTCTTGTTCCCTAAGCAATTCCTTAATTGTTTAAACACAGTGTAAACAGAGCAATTGTTTGAAGATGAATTCTGGAAACTGTAAAAGAGTGTTTAAAGATACTTATAGTGCTGTAAAGCTGTCCCATGCTTCATCACTCATACTTTAATGCATAATGATGGAAGATGTTCATTTTTAACTAATCTGTTGAGTTGAACAATTTGCTTTTGACCAAATTACTTTTCGCTAAATACATACTACCATCGACCAAGCCAGTAATACATTAGAGAGAAAAAAAAAAAACAAAACGCGACTATCCCGATGATTTCCTTTTAAGTGAATCTATCCTGGATTCTAGGGATCCACTGGCATCTCCTTTGGATACTCTGCAAACCATTCCTTTAATAACCCATTTTAGAATCTTGCCAGCTTGGGAAAGTTTAGCAGTATGTATAAGTTCCTTTTGAAGCTGTCTGAAGACACCAATGGGGAAAAACCTCTTACTTGAAAATAAATGTTGAGGGCGCCTGGGTGGCTCAGTTGGTTAAGCGACTGCCTTCAGCTCAGGTCATGATCCTGGAGTCCCGGGATCTAGTCTCACATCGGGCTCCCTGCTGAGCAGGGAGTCTGCTTCTCCCTCTGGCCCTCCCCCCTCTCATGCCCTCTCTCTCATTCTCTTTCTCTCAAATAAATAAATAAAATCTTAAAAAAAAGAAGGAAAGAAAGAAAATAAATGTTGATAAACTCAGCAAGGAGGCTATCCAAGCACTCTATTCCAAGTACTTTATACTGACCTGTTCTCAAGGAAATTGCTCAATTTCTCCACCCTCCCATGTCTCTACAGTAGGAATTCAAGAATATGACATACATTTAATTTCTCCCACCCATAGTTTTCCCATGCTATTTTCCCTTGACCCACCTGCCTGTTATTACTATTATTTTAAAAATCAGTGTGACTCCAGGGGCCACAATTGCTGCTTGGCCCTGCTCTTTCCTCCTGGTCTACACTTAACGGCTGTTTGAGAGGGACGGTGTATAGGAGTCAACAAAAGCTCCTGTGAGTTGCCAGCGAACCCTTCTTAAGCCTTCTAAATGTGGCTTCCAGGCAAATAGGTGATAGGTTGTACTTTATATGATTTTGCATAATGTACCATATTACATAAAACAAAATATTTAAATTATTTTCCATCTTCTCTGTAAAAGGACCCAGTCAGGATCATTAACTTTTAAGTTGTTGCCTTAGCCTTCCTAGGGTTTGTTTAAAATAAAATAAAATAAAATAAAATAAAATAAAATAAAATAAAATAAAATAAAATAAAGACATCTCTTTTTGTGTACTATGGGATAGAGCAAGTCTATTTGTTCAATAGACTTGCATGCCCATGGAATCTCAGTGAAAGCCTGTAGAAGGACTGAAGGAACTTGCTTCAGATGGGATGTGAAATCATCGCAGCTAATTTCCTGTTCCTTCAGGCTTTCATTTATTCAGTAAAAAATGAAAAGTAAGAATAACAAAAATAAAGGAAACTATTAGCTCTAGAGACAAATGAGACATTCTTTATGTGTGAGTTCTAGAATGGTGGTGATTTCATCAGGGTTTGGTTGTTAGAGTGACAGAGAATTCTTATTCCTAGTGCCTATAATTCTGGTGCCTTTGTCTACCTTTCAGGAACTGCCCTATAAGCATTCCTATCAGAGTCTGAGCATAACTATGAGGAAAAGACCCAGGGCTGTCAAAGATGAAAAACACAAGAACCTGAGGGAATCTTGCAATGGAGAAACGTCATCTTTGATAAAAGAAAGAGAGAAATCTTGAAAAAAAAAATTTTTTCTGGTCTCTCATTAGGTTATTTTTTCCTGAACTGCCATAGGCAATATATTTTACCTCTGTTTCTGCCATTTTCTTCCCCCACCTCCTTTTTTGTTCTTTTAGTTTTATTATAAGAAGAAAAAGAATTATGAAGAATGGCTGTGATGTAGTGACTGGTTAATGAAGCTAACACACTGCCTAAATATTTATTCTCACATACGGGGTATTTGGATTGCAGATGTGTAGAAATGTTGTCAAGTTAAAAATAACTCTGTGAGGCAATGGCACACTGGAATGCTAATCCAAGCCCACTGCTTATCCTTCTGAGACTAGCATCCTGGGTGTCCTGGCTGCACAAAGTAAACAACCCCAGCCTTATTTCCTTAGGAATCTTCACCTTTTTTGCTTGAACTGTTTTAAAAATGTGTGCCGAGACTAGTAAGAAACAGAGCAACAAGAGGAGGAGAAAAATCCTCACATAGCCCCTCTTGGTTCCAGAGACCCCCACATTGCATGCCTGGTGGGGAAATTTTCTTCGCTCCAGACCAAAGTTAGCTTCAACATTCTGATCCTTGGAGTGAATGAGTACCTCGCCTAAACTGTGTGCAGCTAATCAGTAATGTGGTTCAAAGGGTAGGCTCATGGAAATACCTGGAGCCAGGTGAGGCAGCTTAGTCCTGGAAGGGAGAAAGCCTGGGGGAGGGGAGATGGCATCTAGGCCAGCCCCCCCTCCAACTGCTCCTTCAGACTTTAGGTGGGGTGCCCTAGCCCCTCTGGGCCTCACCTCAGCCTGTTGCATCAGGAGGCAATATGTATCACGGGACTGTGCCTTGGGGGCTGATAGATCAATGTAAACCACTATCCAGAATGAGAAAGAATAATGAGCAAGAATCTGAATGCTTTGTGTGGATGCTCGTTGGTGCTGTCCTTGAGGAGGGCACAGGAAGGGGCTTAGGGACCTCAGGGGAAGTTTAAGATGCCCACAATATCTTCATCCCCAGGGAAGAGATAAAGGCAAGTAGGAAAGTAGGAGAAACATCTGGACAAAGATTTAAGAGAAAAGAAACAGTGTGAATATAGTGGAGGTCTTCTGAATGGTCTCCAGAACACAGAAAGAAGGTTTAGCATCATTTCTCCCTACAACAGAGAAATATTTTACAGTGATGCCCTCTTAGATATAGATTATTTACAGACCTAAAAGCAAGGCCTTGGGGTCTGATCAAACTTGAACAAAAACACTAAAAGTTTCTGTAAATTTCTCCAAAAAGATTGGGTTTCATTAACATTAGACACATAACTGCGTTATATACTGTTGAACTTGTTCTGCATCATTTTCTGTCTGACAAACCACTGGCTCTTAGTCTGCACACTGTAATAACTTCCAGCTTGCCAACTTAATTTGCCGCAATAACAAGGAACTGGTCTACACACAGTAACACCTGACGACAGCAGATTTCCCAGGTCTTGCAGAGAAGTGCTAACAAAATTGTGGCAAGGAGGGTTGCCCTAACCCCCTCTAACCCCCTCCCGTGCCTTAGCAAGCACCCAGCCACACTTGGGATAAAGACCCACAGACCTGGACTGACATTTGGTTACAATTCCACAGGGCTTTTCTCTCTACAGAATTAATCCTGCACACACACCCATTTTCAAGTGGCAAAGATAATTCGATCCCGTTTTAAAGGACACTGATTACTCTGAAACCAGAGAGAAAACCCAGCCCATCCTGGACACTTCCACACAAGTTGAAAAGTACAACAAATCGATGTGACTATTTCATTAGGGAAGAATTTTTTCTTTTTATAAGCAGTGGCTGTTTTTTTTGGTCTTTTTAAACCAAAGCTGTGTGTACATGTTTGACAGTGAGCTGTTATTCTTAAAGGCAGCAGGAAAGGCAGCATGTTAAAGTTTCACATTAAACAACAAACAGTTTCAAGGAACGTCCTCAAATTACATTCACAGTTTCAAAGTTCAAGAATTGTGGCAGAGCGCTGCTTACCTTACAGTCCCAGGTTCCAAGAGGTCTTTGAGTCTAAAGCAGTACATCACATGTGCAGGATTTATTTTCTCGCATAAAAGTCTAATCTGTCATAGCACCCAGCTCACCGGGAGGCACAAACCTCCTCTTCCTGAACACCAATGAGGGAACCAGAAGAGTACATGTGGGAAGTGGCTTCCCTGGGAGCCTGTCACAGTCTGCACATGCTCTCTGTGACGGAGGTGCCAAATCAACCTTGGCGTGAGGCTCACAAAGCACCTCATTGTGAGGTCCTGGCCAAGTCTTGGGGGAAGGAAAAGGTTATAAAAAACGGGCTCTAGCCAATCTGTAGTTTCCATGCTTTTGTTGGGATGGGCCTCTCATTCATTAAAAATAGAATTATTTTTCTATTAGCTTCCCGGGGAACAAGTAAGGCTTGTAACAACTCACCAATATGTTGAGATAAGAGGAAAAGCTTATCTCTCAGAACTCTACTCTGCTTCTGGCTGGTGTGAAGGAGGGCTCTGTAGTTAAAGCTCCATCTCACCTCTTAGAAAAGCATCTACTCCTTAAGAACTGACAGGATGTTTTATCAGAAGGAAGTTCACAATTATAAGTGTACAATAATGTGTGCTAACCAGGCCCCAAATGAAAATCTACTGCATCTGTGACATTGACATAATCTCTCAAGTGGGCTTTTCCACATCAAGCTAGCTAGAAGTCATTGTGCAGAGCAAGTACATGTCCCCTTATGGGACAAAGATGTACAAGGACCCGAAAAACATTTGCTTTTACTTTCACATCCACCTGCTCCAATGTGCCACAGAAAAGAAAAGAGGTATTGGGCGAAAAAAAAAAATACGTCAAAATAATCAAACCTCTTCAAAATCCATAGCATAAAATGTGAGCCATGATTACTCTTGGCTTAGAATTTGATGTCATTTGGCCTTTCTGCAGCCCTTGGTAGGACTCTAGCCTGAGCAGTCAATGGTGAGCAGTTGCTTCTGGGCATAAATAAGAGAGAAAGACAACACCTTGAAGTAGACAGTGGGGCAAAGAGACCCATGTTCAAGTTCTGGATCTGGGTTATACAACGAGCTCTAAGCCCAGGAAAATCTTGAGGTCTCTCTGGATCTTAGTTTCGTTTTCTTTCAAATGAAAGAGTTGGACTAGTAGTTCAGGAATAGAAGTGCACTCAAAGTGCAGTTCACTGGGTGGGCTAAGGTGAGGTGGAAAACACAGGTCTCTATTTTGGAAGTAGCTATTATTCCACAATAACTATTCCTAATTTGTTATGGGATGAATTATGTCAAAGCTTCTGACTTTTAAAAAGAAGCTAGAAGTTCAAATTTTTATGTGAACTCTAAGTTTTGTAAACCTCCTTATTCAAAATGTTTAATGAATATCATGAATACCAAGCAAAATCTATCTGCTGATTAAATTTGCCCTGCAGGCTGCCAATTTGGGACTTACAGACTAGATGATCTTGAGCCTTATCCTGCCAGAAAATGAATAATCCAGGGAAATTGGCCTCTAGAGAAACTTTCAGTATGTTTAGCAGTCAAGATAGGACTTAAAGAAGAGGCTGCCTAGTACTTCTGTGGTGAAATTGGGGATCCTCACCTCCCTACTTCATGACGGTGACCACGGCTGATGACCTTACATGGTCAATTTTTTTTTTGGATAGGGCTGGTATAGAATCCGTGAGATCATTAGCATTCTTTAAGAATCTGATGAGTGAAAAAAGGCAGAACCCACACAGGGGAGAGATAAAAAAATATTGTTCCAGTAATATAAAAAGCAACCAGATGCAATGCTACCAGTCTTATCTCAAGACTGAAATACTGAAAGTAAAAGCAAAAGGTCCAATAGGGCTTACGATAAGTAGCTACATTTTGTTGAGGGAAAGAAAAGGTTTATTGACTTGCTCAATAAAAGAGAGATGTTGGGGTGCAGGGTTGGAGATGTGTATAAAACAAAGTTGACTAAATAATTCTCTTCTTGGTCAATAGATAAAACTAAAGTCAGGAATACTCAGTCCTCAAGGTCTGACCGGTACAACCCTTCCTGAGCCACTGGATGAGCTCTGACTGGGTGTAGAATCCCTCTTTGTGGGTCAGGACTCATCCTTATTGAGAGAGAGTAGTGCTGACTCACCAGGGACCAAGGCCAGAGCCCTGCAAACATGCTCAATAAATATTTGCCCTGCCTGATGAACCCTGGCAAGGAGACTGTGGACCAAAGACCAAGATGGGTAGGCAAAGCCTTTGATCTTTCAAGACTTGGCTGCAGTCTGAGTCATTTCATCCCAGGGAATTTCCCTTAGCCTCTCAGGCTGCCTAAGTATCCTTTATTTTACTCTTAGTTTAGTACTTAAATTGAATTTTGATTTTTTGTCTACTTGTCTTATTAAACTAATACTCTCTCACTCACTTTTTTATTTCTACAACCTAGCATATCCATGCTTGGCACAGGTAAGGAACTTAGTAAGTATTGGTTGAATGCATTAGTAAATAGAAAACTAATGACTAGGAGAAGTAACATGTACACTATAAATGCAGTGAAATTAAAGTGATAAGGCAAGTCTTTGGAAGAAAATTCGGTTTAGATATGTATTTTTACGAGGATTATGTTTTCCCAAATGTATGGCTAATTTTTTTTTCATTCTCTTACGGATTTTTAGTTTGCATTTGTTCAAAATAATGTTCCTTATTACAGTAGTTACTGCCCTCTGCCATAATCCAAGCTTTCTAAACATTTATGTTTCCTATGACCATCTATGGGAATGTTTTGGTCAGTAATGAGTGTACAGCTGACAGTCACCATAAATTGGCCACCCTCAAACCTCGTGTTGCTTTCACAAATGCAACAGAGGGAGTGAAGGTAATTCACTTAGCTCTGAGCAGTTTCATGGTAACCAATGACAGCAGCAACACATACTGCCACCAGGGCTCAAGGGACCAGGGAGCAGAATGCATGGAAATTACTCTTTTACACATAGCTTTGGTACTAACCGGAGAGAGCCTCCACTGTAAATTTCAAAATAAAATTAAAAATAGAAAATAAAACAAGATTTCAACTGAATTAAATTTGTTTTGACTAAAAGATTCTATGACTGAGAAATTGATGAATACAAAGAAATAAAGGAATGAAGGAAAAGCAATGTAGGTTATTGCTATTCATGACTGCATGGCTAACCACCCCCAGACATAGTAGCTTAAAACATCTATTTTATCATCTCTGTGCTTCTGTAAATTGGGCGAATCTCCTTATCCATGTAATATTACCTAAGTTGCAATGACCTGGGGGCAGATCATTTGTTTTCCTTGTCTTTTTTGATAACAGACAGTCTAACAGGTGTGAGGTAATATTGTGATTTTGATTTGCATTTCCCTGATGATTAGTGATGTTGATTACCTCTTCCTGTACCTGTTTGCTATTTGTATGTCTTCACTGAAGTAAGTCTATTCAGGTTCTTTGCTCATTTTTATTTATTTATTACTTTTGCTATTGAGTTGCATGAACTCTTTATATATATGTTTTTTAAGATTTTATTTATTTATTTGACAGAGAGAGACACAGCGAGAGAGGGAACACAAGCAGGAGGAGTGGGAGAGGGAGAAGCAGGCTTCCCGCGGAGCAGGGAGCCCGCTGCGGGGCTCGATCCCAGGACCCTGGGATCATGACCTGAGCCGAAGGCAGATGCTTAATGACTGAGCCACCCAGGTGCCCCAAACTTTGTATACTTTGACTATTAACCCATTATCGGATACACTGTTTGCACATATTCTCTTCCTCTCCATGGATTACTTTTTAATTTTGTTTATAGTTTCCTTTGCTGTATAGAAATATTTTCAGTTGATGTAGTCCCACTTGTTTGTTTTTGCTTTTGTTGCCTTTGCTTTTGCTGTCAAATCCAAAAACTTATTGCCAAAAGCTGATGTTAAGGAGCTTACCTCCTATGTTTTCTCTAGGAGTTTTACGGTTTTAGTCTTACTTTCAAGTCTTTAATCCATCTTGAGTTGATTATTGTGTATGGTGTAGGATAGGTGTCTAGTTTTATTCTTTAGCATGGAGATACAGGTGTCCCCTGTTTTTCAAAAGTTCACATTATGCCATTTCACTTTTACAAAAGATCTACATTAGTACTTGTTTTCACTAACCAAAAAAAAAAAAAAAATCCAAAGAGGATTTTTTGCTTTTATGAAAAAAAGGTGAAAAGCAAAAGTAGTGTTCAGTGTTTGTTTTGCAGCAAGCCCTTGTAGATGCAGCTCATAGCCTGAGCAGCAAAGTGGCTCCGCCAAGCTCCTTCCCCAGAATTATACTCAGCATGTCAGCACCAAGCGGCCATAGCTTTGATCTGTGTCTATCTATGAGCATCTGTGTTTTATCTTGACTTATTTTGTGCATCCATTAGCAAGATGTGTCCTAAGGTATCAAAAAGCTTAAGAGAAGTTATTTTTGGGGTCTGGGAATACTTGAATTTTTTTTCATATAAATTAATGGTAATTGCTTCTTTGACTTAGGCCATTTAGCTTATGAAAAGGTCATAGGAATACTCTACTTCTGGGTAGCAGAAAACAGGATACAGTTTTCATAGCACCACTTACTGAAGACACTTTCCTTTCCTCATTGTATATAGTTAGTTCCTTTGTTAAAATTAATTGACCATATACACATGGGTTTATTTCTGGGCTTTCCATTCTGTTCCATTGATCTATGTGCTTGTGTTTATGCTAATACTATACTGTTTTAATTACTATAGCTTTATCGTGTAGTTTGATCAAGAAATGTGTTGCCTCCAGCTTTGTTCTTTCTCAAGATTGCTTTGGCTATTTGAGATATTTTGTGGTCCTAAACAAATTTTGGAATTGTTTTTTCTATTTCTGTGAAAAATGCCATTGGAATTTTGATAGAAATTGTATTAAATCTGTAAATTGCTTTGGGTAGTATGGACATTTTGATGATATTAATCTATCTAATACATAAACATGGGATATCTTTTCATTTATTTTTGTCTTCTTTAATTTCTTTCACCAATGTTTTATAGTTTTCAGCATCCAGATCTTTTATCTCCCTGGTTAAATTTATTCCCAAGTATTTTATTATTTTTGAAGCTATTGTAAATGGGATTATTTTCTTAATTTCTCTTTCTGATAGTCCATTGTTAGTGTATAGAAATGCAA